AAGAGATCTAAGACTTTACCTCAATAATTTTCAGAGGAGATGACTACTCCTTACTTATTGTTTTCCTGGTCTGGGTAATATTGTTCTTAGTGTTCTTCTAAGCTATTAAATCTTAGATATTCAAATGTTGTGTCTGAGCCATCAACCAGAAATTCAACTGGATCCAATGTTACTGAGGCGCAGTGACTCTTATAACTCATTTTGTTCTAGAAGGATTTGTATAAGTACAAAAATCACTGATTAACATAAAAGGTAATGTTATTGAATGTGGGACAGCAGCCAAATTAGTGTAAAAAAAAGATGAAACCTAAAGTGAGATTAGTAAGCAAATTTTTTTATAAACCCTTTCACATTTGTCAATGGTAGATCACAAACTTTTATTAGTACTTTTAAGCTAGTAAAAAGAGAGAGACAAGATCAGTTAATTATCATGTCCACAAGACAGTTGTACACAAGAGGTCTAATATTTCTTGGTACTGAGAGTCAGGAGAGAGAGAGTTCCTCTCTGTGCCCACATGTTTTAGACAAATGTGTATGTATTGAACTGAGTTGGCGGTGGGGTATATCAAGATTCATGCAGCAGATTCTTTGAAGGCAGACCCGTGGGATAACACTTAAGAGAAAACTTTTTGATAAAAAGTATAACATTCTGCTTGTCTGAATAAATTGAAAAAGAGATTTTAGAATATGTAGATAAATGAAATACTTCTTCAATCCTCCATAAATATTATTGTGCTCATCTGAGCTTTTGAAATCTATTAAGCAGAACTGAATTTCAATAAAATTCCTCTCTAAGTTAAACAGTTATTCTGTGGTGCCAGTTAATGGTGGTGCCATAGCTTGAAAACCCAGGAGTGTGACTGGCACTCTAATTAAAAAAGGAGCATGATGAGAAGGATTTATGGAATCTACCCGTTGCAGATTGGAGTTGTATGAAGGAGTATTCATAGGCAATGATGAGATTTGCCTTGAGAATATGTTTTGCAATCTTCTGCAGTGAACAAGTGATGGTGGTTACCAGACTTTAGTGTTCCACCATATAAGACATGGCTTCAATATTTTTGGCCTGAAGAACATTTAAAACAAATATAAAATGTAATTCTTATCTTGAATATGGGAGAAAAATTCTTTGTGAATACCTTTGAACACTTAGCCTTAAGGAAAAAAAATGTTGACATTCCCTCCAGGATGAACTGGTTTTAAAATATACATCTAAGTTACTGAATGAGTTAACCAGACATAGCTGCTTTATGACAGTTTTAAAAAATGATGGAAAAGTTAGTTATCTTTTAAAAGTGATGTATTTTGTTTTGGAAATTTTGATCTATAGAACTTGTTTAAAGCAGAAATTATAACACATCCAGTTGTCCAATATGCTCACTCCAAATTTTTGACAATAAAGCCAAGGCATTTCATATAATACAAACAATTTCTCTTCTCTATGGCAAGTGGACATACATTCAACTTACTAATAATGATGTCAAATCATTAAAATACCATTAATAACAGTGGTACGAATTCAGAATAAATTCCTTGAGTTCTCCTACTGAAATTATTATCTGATTCATCAAAAACCACTTTTACAAATGCTAACTCTAAAAATAATAGCAAAATTCATGTTCTACATAAACATCAATATCTGGGGTACAGACTGAGACCCTGCAGCTTTGCTCATAGCCAGAGAGTAGGAGGCCTAAATAGGTCAGGAGAAGTCACATGATGTCCTACATCATTCCTAAGAGAGACCTTCAAATGATGGGAACATACGGCACTTTCAGTCTGGGAACAAGGCAGAAGCTGTGTCTGAGTCCTTCTTCGTTTCCAGTGTGGCCTATAGGCCTTGGACTGGATTAAAAGGAAACCGGCCCACTTTCTGCGGGTGTCTGATAGAGAGGGCTACCACAGGATGCTGGACAGGATTTCCCTTTATAAAAATGGGAGTATCTTCTTTTCAGCTTTGTTTAAATGGGATCAAAATCACAAAAGTGAAGAAAGCTAATAGATCAGAATAGTTCAGGTTGCACTGCTCTGGATGATTAGAACTACTGTGGAGACAAGGCAACTTCCCCAGGGACTTTAGAGGATTTTCTTTCTAAAAACCCAGTCCAAAGATGGCCAGAAACTATAGACAAACAGGCAGGTGACCTAATATTATAAATCTGAACAATGGATGTGGAGGTATCTCCTGAGAGCTGATATTTTATGAAAAGATTTGGATGTAAAAATGTCCAGATGACTCTTTGCTTTGTCCCGTGGCTAATCTGACTCAGGACTTGTAAACTTATTGACTTGGGGGCAGCAGTCTAACTCACACTGACATCTGCCGTTTTTTCCCACCTTAGCTCTTGACAGGATAAAAGATCTAAAGTCCGGAACATAAGCAGATTGCTGTTCTACAATCCAAGTCTCATAAAAATACGCAATGTAAAAACTGGAGGAAAACCATTCACTCTGAGCCTTTACCAAGAAATGTTTAGGAAAATAACTTTGGTTGAGAAGCATACTTGAGCAATTTTCCTAAGCTGATTTTTTTTTAACTTTTTTACTATAAAAAATTTCTGACACATACAATGTAAAAATAATAGTATAATGAGGCAATTCCCAACCACCACCCACCCAAAACAATTACTGTTCTGATTATTTACAAACAAGGGCTTAGATAGCTAGGAGGAAAATCATCCTACAAATTCCTCTGTTTATTGGTTGCCCTCAACTTTTGCTAGCCCTTGCTCCAATGCATTACATAATATACATGTGCATTATTTTGAAAACTGTAAAAAAAAAGAACAAACATATATTTTAAAATAGTAAAGGTATGGGAGCTTAAGAAGAGAGGCAAGAGAGAGAGAGAGAGGTAGGTAGAATGTTCCCAAATTCCTTCTTCATTTTTGGTTATATCTCTGGTGTCAGCGAATCCACTATAACCTTGTTCCTCAAAATATGGTCCTTGGGACAGCAGCAGACTCGTGAGCACATTCCATTTTGAGAAACGCTGCTCTAGATCATGACGTAATGGATTGACATGACAGACGAGAGAAAAATGGAAACTCTCGAAAATCAGACAGAACATGAAACAAGAATACACATGGAATCAGCAAATTATCCAATATAAAGAAAATTTCTATCCATTCTATAACTGTGTAACACATCAACTTTTTTTTTTTTTTTTTTTTTGAGGAAGAATAGTCCTGAGCTAACTGCTGCCAATCCTCCTCTTTTTGCTGAGGAAGACTGGGCCTGAGCTAATGTCCGTGCCCATCTTCCTCTACTTTATATGTAGGATGCCTACCACAGCATGAGGTGCCAAGCGGTGCCATGTCCACGCCCGGGATCCAAACCAGCAAACCCTGAAACCCCAAAGCGGAATGTGCCCAGTTAACTGCTGTGCCACCCGGCCGGCCCCCACATCAGCTGTTTTATAAAGCTAGAAAGTGAAAATAGAGATAAATTTTAAGCACTCTTTCCTATTTGGGGATGAAAGGGTCAGCAGAAAATATGGGGAAAGATATTACGATTGGCTATTCGCAATGCTTCTTCCTGTTCATCTCATGCCTTCTAGCAACCCTGTAAGCTGTCACACAAGCTAATATTGAAAGCAACAAATTATACTTTTGTTTATTTTATTTGAATGATGCTCATTAAAGTTTTATGTTATATACAATTGCTATCAGATTTTATGTGTTCAATTAATATTATATTAAACGACACTGTTGTAAAGGAAACAGCTAAAGGAAGCAGATGTTTGGATTTGTAAAATGCAGCTGTTATTAAAATTAAACAGCACAATATTTTGGAATAATTTCTTATTTATTGTATAACATGATTATAAAAGTGATTTGTCAAGAGATCTAAATTTTCTTGCACTGCCACTGCTTAGAGCTATGAAAAAGAAAACATTGGACATAGATTTATAGGAAAGAATATAAAATGTAAAAATGGGGCAAGATTTTATATAAATCTATGAGACATTAAAAAGTAAAAGAGCCTCGTATTTTTTATAGCAAAGAAGTATTAATGCATCTGTATTATCCTGACATATTTTTGCTGAAAGGCAATCACTCCATCTTTAGCTCTAATATTTTTTCAACTGAGGGTGAAACTAATTTTCAAATGAAGAAATCTCAGAAATGACTTTAGTTAAAACTGATAGACTAAATTTAGTCTATCATATTGATTTCTAATCCATTAAAATTGCCCTCTTCTTATCAGCAACGTGAGACTTGAGAAATTTCAAATTAAATGAAAATATGATTAAACCTCTTTTCTACAAAGAGCAAGTAATCCCTAAGTGCACCATTTAGCAATGAATCTGAATCATGCGTGGATAGTTTAAACATTGATGGGTGAACCCACACATTGAGGAAAGCATTCTCCTTCATGCTGAAATGGGCTTTTCAGCTGAGTGAAGAACATTGATCTCAATGTCAATGCCCCTGCAAATATATAGATTTAAATTTTCAAAATATTCAGGTGACTGTCCTTCTTTTCTTTACCAAAGATGACAACTTTCTCATCTTAGGTATTCTTTAGCGATTGTGTGCACCTCACATTGTCCGTGTTAGAGTCCTAGCTCAAATACATGCTACTCTCTTTTAGGCATAAGCAGAAGGTTATGAATTTGCTCTTCCCAACAGTGCTTGTGGCTCAGAAAATTACGATTCTGTCTTAGTACAACTTCAATCTAAAGAAGGGAGGTTATGATTGTAAAATGCCCTGGTTTTTCAAATGGAGTATAAAAAAGTATCTTGCACTAAAGGAATAGAAGCACTGTGTCCTGTTCTTTTATTTTACTTCTGTATTTAACTTTGAGAATTTATTTTTAAAGTAGTTTTTTTTATTTACCCAAATTCAAGTGAATTAAATGTTAAACCAACAAATATTTGATTTTTAAAAATTGATACAGAGGGAGAAGGTGCTTTCACTGTGTCCTGAGTAAATGAAATCTGTTGCATTTTGAAAGAGAATGTCACAGAATTTTAAAATTTACATTTCACTTTTAGATGTAAAATATTTAAAAGAAGAGGATGCGAATCGCAAGACATTCACTGTCAGCAGCACCCTGGATTTCCGAGTGGACCGCAGCGACGACGGCGTGGCGGTCATCTGCAGAGTAGACCACGAAGCTCTCAACGCCACCCCTCAGGTGGCCATGCAGGTGCTAGAAATACACTGTAAGTAAACCTTACTCCCTCCCCTTTATCTCGGTGGCAAATCTTTTCATCTACATTTAAAAGCGTTTTAAAATTGCCTGATTTACAGCAAAATCTAGAGCACAGTGAAGTAAAACTACCCTCATTAGTCGTAATCACATTCAAAGGAAAGGATTCCTTGCCCTAGTATCAACATAGATAAGGAAGACAAATAACGGAGATATTATAAAGTTAAAACTCCTAATCATCTTCCAAATGGTGGCTTGATGTATGTGTTTGGGTGGGAACAGGGGAGGAAGAGTGGTAATTCTGGCAGAATCAGTGAGAGCTGGGAATCAGAAGGGTTTTGGCGAACTTCACAGTATGAAAGGAAGTTTGTTATTTGCAAATGTGTCTGCCCATCTGTACTTTTAAAATTAGAGATTTTCTTTTTTTGTGAGGAAGATTGGCCTGAACTAACTGTTGCCAATCTTCCTCAAGATTGTGACTGAGCTAACATCTGTGCCAATCTTTCTCTATTTTGTATGTGGGTCACTGCTGCAGCATGGCTTGATGAGTGGTGCTGTGCACCCGCAATCCAAACCCATGAACCTGGGCTTCCAAAGTGAAGTGTGTCAAACTTAACCACTATGCCACAGAGCTGACCCCAAAATTAGACTATTTTTACCTTCTCCATGAGGTATACTAAGTCTGTGTGAATGTAGGGACTTATCCATTAGGTTCTCTTCGTCAACATCATCATTGTTTACACTGACTAGAGCAATATTAATTGCATGACTCCAGTATGGCAGGGGCAGAGCTGCACGCTCTGCTGGCATTATCCCATCTCATGTTATGTCATGTTGGGCATCAGCATAACAACCTGATGAGTAGTTACGCCTTCAGTCGCAGTTTACAGATGAAGACACTGAAGATTACAGAGGTTGAGTCACTTGGCCAAGTTCACACAACTAGCAAATGGTGGACTTGTAATTATGGCATTTTTAGTAGTTAGCAGGGGTCTTGCGATATAGTAGGGAGTCTATAAATTCCATCAAAAGGAAACTGCATGAATTGAAGTATGCAACAAAAAGTAGAAAAGAGTAGAACAGAAGAGGTTATATTTCTGGATGGGATTACTGGATTTTTCACATATAGAAGGTTGTTTGTTTTTCTTTGTTATCTATGATGAAGTTACAGCTTGAGTTTAGAGCTTGTGTGAGATGTAAAATTACATGAAATCCTAAAATTTTCAATCTAGGTACTGGTCTTCTACTATGCCTCATTGCATTTTCTTTTCATTTATTTATTCAACAAGAACCTATTGAGTGCTTACTATGTAACAGGCATTATTTGGGGCACTGGGGTTACATAGTGGCCAGAACAGAACAACAGTAAAACAAATTGAGATTGTCTCCAAGTGTCAAAATTAGCACCCTCACGAAGAGCAACAAGCTCCGGTCTCTCATAGCATCTGCTCTAGGTAGGAATGACAGAAGAGCAAAACCAATAAATACAACATACAGCATATTATGTATTAAGTGCTAAGGAAAAAATAAAGCGGGGGAGGTGATAAAGGGTGCAACTAGAGAGGTGGGAATGGGGGGCTCAAGGAAAGTGAGTGTGTGTATTACGTACATATAATATATATGTGTAGGCTATGTATGTGTAACATTTTGTATAATATATGTATAGTGTGTATATCGTATATTATGCATATTATATATGCATATTAATACATGTGTATATATTTATTATTATATATGTATATACGCATATACATATACTGTATGTAAATATGTGTAGATGTATATAATAAAAATATATATTATAATAAATATAATAATATACATATATATGTGTGTGTGTGTGTGTGTGTGTATATATATATATATATGCAGAGAGAAGAGCAAGTATAAAGGCCCTGAGGTAAAAGCATGTCTATAGCTTTTATGTTTCTAAGAACAGAAAAATACCAGTGAGACCAGAGTGGAGTGGACTATGGGAAAAGCAGAGAGGGGATTACAAGAAAAGATCGCAGTACCAGGGGGATTAGACATTTAAAAACATGTTTAATAGAGGAAATGTCAATCTGATTATGATTTTTAATTATTGTTCATTGTGATTCAATTATTCTTATTTTACTAGTTAGTGCAATTATTATAATTTTTTAATATTTTCGATTATGCCCCATTAGTTTCATTAATTTTTCTCCTGGTCTCATTGCAGCAGATTTAGAAACAAGCATATTTTATAGCCTAAGCTGCGATTATCTCCAAATTTCAAACTTTATTTGCAGCGAGACCTTGGGACAATTACTGAAACTCTTCAGGCTTTGAATGTAAGCTAGAGAATACGTTTCTATGAGGAGCAAACTGGACAACTTAAGTCAAATTCAGGGTATTCGATAAACTTTGAGTAAATGTCAATGCCTTCTGTCTTAGTCCGTTCAGGCTGCCGTAACAGAATACCATAGACTGGACGCCTTATAAACAACAGAAATTCAGTTCTCACGGTTCTGGAGGCTGGAAATCCAAGGTCAAGGTGCAGGCACATTTAGTGCCTGGTGAGCGCTGCCTCCTGGTTCACAGATGGCTGTCTTCTCTCTGTGTCCACACTTGGAAGGCGGGAAGAAGGAGTTCTCGGGGTCTCCTTTGTAGGGGTGCTAATTCCAGTCATGACCTTCCAGAGGCCCCACTTCCTAACAGCACACTGGGGATTAGGTTTCAACATATGCATTTGGGGGCACACCAACGTTCACTCTATAGGATCTTCCCTTTTCTATTTCTTTTTATTTCATTGATATATCTTTCAAAACATGGAAAGTCATATAATTCAATATGTTTGGAGGATCCAGATCATCAACATCTTAATTTAAACTTTTTTCATTTGCGTATAAAGCCAAGATCGTTTAAAAATATTTGATAACTAATTTAACTGTAATTTTCAACATACACTAAAAGAAAATAATAAAAGTTAAGTCACCATGAATGTTGAAGATTACCAGCCAAAGATCACTGGCAAACTACTAGTAGTCTAGCCAAATCAGGTTTAGTTAGTGTGCTATGGCAAAGGAGAGGGCAGACCAGCTGAACCTCTGAGTGTAGGTGAGAAAGAGTTCGGAGAGGCTTGTTACAGGGTTTGGGCTTGTCCCGAATGTTCTGAAGAGGGTTCGGGATTGGATGCTGTCAGGACTGGGGGCAATCTTGAAGGGGCATGTTGGTAGGTTTTACCTAGAAAGCAAAAGTATTAAAGCACAATTGGATTTGCTGTTATAGATACGGTGGTTAATGGTACTGATTCTTTTGGTGGTTATGTGTCCTGGTCTCTGTCTTGTTTCAGACCTGCTCATGGGTTAGACTAGCCTTTGTCTTATTCCACCCCACAGTCACGGAGTGGCTTTATGTGATCGTTGTTTAGATCCTAGAGAATCATGTTTCTTGAGAATATTTCAGCTTGTCTGTCAGATACCCATTGTCAGCCGCCAAAGTCATTTTCAGATTTTTGGGAGTCCAAAAGGGACCTATTTTATATATACTTCTTGGGCATTTTTAGCTGAGCACCATATTTGAATATGCATTATTAAGCCAACTTCATGAAGGAAGGCAATTGAAGTGCCTAATTTTTCAGAAAGTTTTACTTGAAAAATGTTATACTTGCTGGCCAATTAAAAATAACAACTCAGCCTATCATGGTTTAATATGTGAGTGGCTGGAAGGCAGAGACCAGATCTACTTAAATTATTTTTCTTGACATCTAGGATACTATCATCCAAGTATGTGAAATTAATTAAAACTAACTGATGCTAATGCTGAACGTTCCTTTAGGGATGCAGAGCATTCCCCAGAGATGAAGTGAGGAGGGGAGCGTACAGAGGGGGCGTTTAGCAACAGTCTGCATGAAAATTAGAGCAAATTGGGTGTGGGATCCATAAACAAGTAAGAATAATGACAAAGCATCTCAGTGGCTGTTTTCAGAGACAGTAAGATCATGATTCCACATAGGTGCACATGTGCGGTATGCATGATGTGGAAATTTTCATGGATGCAGGTAGGGGAAAATAGAAGAATTGGAAAATGAAGAATGGGGTTAGTTTAGAATTTATGGAACATTAATTTAGGATTTCCACGTTGTTTTACAATGTTCCTATCATGAATAACCACAGGGACCGGCATCCAAAGAGAGAAACATTAGCATTCTGGACCCCCAGAGCAGAAAAGATAAGATTATTTTCCGTTGTGAGTGACAAGAATAAATATATACCCCTGCGAGGATGGAAGTTGTGACCACGCCTGAAATCAAATCCTGCGCTATTGTGGAAAAGGCGAGTTTGATGAGAAAGCAGAAAGAAGTGTTGAATACATGGTGCCAAGGAGCATAATGCAAAAACCAACAGTGAGAGGACGTATATCTCTAGGGCTAAGAGTTTTAGCTCTGTAACCCTGAGATATACAGTTTAGAAGGACCCAGCCTATCAAATACATCACAGCAATATTCATTTCTTTATAAAATATTAAAGATAAATGTTATTGCCACTGTGATGGGAGAGAGTCTCTTTAAACTTGAAGTTTAATAAATTTAAAGTAGGCTTTTCACTGCTAACCACAAATGCCTGCGAATTTCACTATTAGATAACAGCCTACTTTGCGCCTAAACAGGGGCAAAAGGTTTTATGAATAAAAATTCTAATTCATCTTCCTATTTGTACATAGATCTCTTTGAAACAATAACTTTATTTGTCTGATGTAATTTTTAGAAAAACAGATTGCATGAATCAGATTTTATTTAATTCTCAGTAGGAATAGTATATGTGCACTAACAGAAAGAACTATGCAAAACACAAAAAATAAGAAAATAATTGAACATAACTAGAATTATTTTCTCTAGTGACCTTGACAAAATGACTTAGAAAATCAACTTTTATTGAAAATGAGAAACACCAAAGACAGATTAGTGAAATATTTCAGAATGAGTGTTTTGAGAAAGCATTTTAGTACTATGCCATTGAACTGCCAATATGGATAAATAAGAAACCAAATGTT